GGGGGGGGAGTACTTCCTACCAGTCACTCACACACACACAAAAAGAACAACACAGTAATGACAAGATAAGCTGGTTAATTCTTTTGAGTTATGCAGCAGACAGAGAGACACAGTTACAGCTTTAATAAAGAAATCTACACAGTAGCTTCCAGATCTATATCATATTCCTGAGTCCTCAGGGTTGAAATTCTTGGTTCAAAACCCAAGGGTCTAGAGAAAAATTGATCTTAAGAAATACATGCAACAGAAAAAAAAATCATATTTAAAAGCCTCAAAGTTGTTAAAAGCCACCAAAGTGTAAAAGCACACTCTAATACTAAAAAATACACTGAAGCAAAACATATTAAGGAAAACTGCTTACCATTTCAGTCTGCGATACTGCTGCAAAAAGAATAGTTATACTTTCAGTAAAACATGAAATTTACATGGCATTTATTCTGGCTGAAGCTGGACTACTCCAAGTATTTTGTGTTTACTTCCAACTCAACAGTAGGAAAGTTAACAGTTAACCTGTCTCCAAGCTTTTTACTTTTAAAACCCTCTAATTTTAATGAGACTTTTTCATGCTACCCATTTCAACCAACAACTTATGCAAGCAACTATAATACAAAACATGTTGTGATGAACAGAAGGAAAACATGTTCCATTAAACTTTCTTTGCTTACCAGAAGTACAAATAAAAAGTGGAGGGAGAGGAAGCTGGGGTGTGCTGTTGGTGATTTTTTATTTTTTTGCAATGAATCATAGAAGGTTTATATTAGGTATATTAGGTTATCATCCATTCATACTACTAGGAAAGAGTTCTAATCAATTTTGTCTCATGCTAGGCTAACACGGTAAGGAATGGGATGGAATTTATGCAGAATTAAAGTCATTCATGTGACCTTAAATACACTGAAATACTAGAACTTAAACTGTAGCGCAGTATTTCTTCTTTTAAATGTTTTTCTAAGATACTTCTGTTAACAAGTGACAAAAGGTATACGAAAAAAGAATTTGAAGCAGTAATGAAGAAACTGTTTCTACTCCAGCCTTCCCCCTCCACATCCCCTCTCTCTTCTAAAATATCTCTTGAAAAATAGATGAATGAATATTCAAAACAGGACAAAAGAATTGAATTACACCAGACAAAACAGATGTGTTATCCTTGAGATGGCAGAGAAAGTTCTCACCCAAGATAACTTGCTGCAAAATAAGACGGTACCTGCCAATCACCTACCTTATTCACAAGAGTTCTTTGAATTTATATATTCCTATAGAACAAAAACGGAAGGATTCTTCTCTGCTTATTTATTTACTTTTTGTCAATAAATTGACCTGGCCACACAATATTGCTCCTGCCATAGTCTCCAGTGCATTTTACAAAAAGGAAAAGAGGTAACAACAGACAAAGGAAAAAAATAAAAAATAAATAAATCTGCTATTCTGCTACACCTCATTCAAATCCACAGGCAGTTGAAGCACCACAGCTAAATTCACTGCCAGCAATGCCAACTTGGAGCAATACATCTGAAAGGACACTCAACCAGATGTACATAGTGACTACCAAGATCTTGCACCAGAGTTGCAGTTAGTACCTGACTGAGGAAATTTCCAAAGGGGACTGAAGATCCCCAAGTTTCCACTGCTCTTTCCAACTTTGCATTTTAAGAGACTTGAAAACCTATTTTGATATTGAGAACTCCAGCTTTTAGAAAACAAACATGCTCCCACAGTTATTAAAAAAGTAATACTTAGCATTAGCATATGAAAGCAACATAAAATTAATTCTGATTGCCTGAACTTTAAATATGTACTTTCCTGCCATGGTTAATTATATTTAAAAATATATATTACTTTCCTCTAAAATTAAAGTGGAGAAGGGCTGCATACTGTGAGAGAAACAAAAGTTAAACAGAAGAACACATTTTTTAATTGCCTTTTTCCCAAGGGGTAAGACATAGATCTTTCAAAACATGAAGCAGTTGCCAAGCACAGAGCATATCAAATCCCATATCAGGAGAATTGCTTGTTGTTCTTACCATTTAGTGTTTCCTCACATCTTTTAATCCAAACAGTAAAGGTGTGATCCACATCTAGAAGAGACCAAACACAGTAACATTAACACCTTGGCACAAAGCACCGTTCATCATTACTACCCATTGGAACAAGTTGATCCCAAGTTTGCAGCAGTTTATTAAATCACAGTATTCTTTCTACTATTTTCTGGTAACCTTGATCTTTCCACTTAAGCTGTAAGTACTTTTACACAACTTTTATTTAACTCTCTTGTATTTAATTAGCCTAAACTAATTTGTAGAACATAAGATCATGCCTTGAACTGACCCAAATCTACTGATCAGGTTCCAGCTTGCCTAATTGTTAGAAGCATTGCAAAAACACCTACCAGTTCCACACTCGTATTCCCACTACTGTTCAATTTATTTTTTCCAAAACGTTCAGCCACATACTTCCCAACTGGAAAAGTATCAGGTGAGCTCATCTGTGCCAAGGACAACCCAAAACTGTGAAACTTCACTAGCATCAAGTGTTTTCTCCTGGTGGTTTCACACAATTTCATACGCCCATCTAATGCTTCAGGGATGTTAGAAATACATCCTAGGTTTACATTGGGAGTGGAGGTGGAGGGCGGGGAGGGGAAACCAACACAAAGTAACATCTAAGTCTTTCAGCAAAATTATTCCCAGGGAAAAAAAAAAAAAAAAAAAAAGCTTTAATAGGCAAGAAAGTAACTGATCAGCAACATTGTGGCTTTTTTTTAAAAAAAAAAAAAAAAAGAAAGAAAGAAAAACAATAGCTAAACCTTTGTCTTTATACAGTACAGGGAAATTCGAGTCACCCTCTCTTGACCTTCTTGAAGAAGCTTGAAAATGACACTTGAGCAGACAGTGCCCTGCGGGTATGTCCACTACATCAAATACTGGGATTCTGCAAACTATTAGCCTTGACCTCCTCAAAATAAGGAATTCATAAGTTAAGGCATGCCTTATGTCTTACAATTGCTACTCCCACGCTCGATACTATTCTTACCCTCATCTTTTGCCATCCCTACTGATCACTCTAGAATCCATTTTAATTTACATAAATTTTAAGTAATCTCTCAAATACTATTAGTAAAAGATAAAGATACAAACAAAAACATGGTTGCCTTGATATTATAATACAGTCACTGTTAACAATTTTTTCTCTTATCTTAGCAGATCCTGAAAAAGACAATATCCATGTCCAGAAAGAATTCTCCAAAATTAACTGTCAACGTTTTGTTTGGGGAAAGAGAGGGAATCTAATGATGGTTTTAATTACTTAAGTTGTAGTTACAGAAACATCAGTCAGACTCTCCTCACAAAAAAGTGAGGAAGAGGACACAAGATAGAAAAAAGGAAATTCCGATTAGATAACCTGGGGTTTTGTTTTTGTTTTTAATAAAAGGAGTACGCAAATATTGGAATGGATTGATCAAAGAATCGGTGAAATTTTCATCCTTGAAAATAATGAGAAATCAACTGTAGAAGGCCCTGAGCAGATTCATGCAAGTTCAAAGCTAAGTTCAAACCTGACGACCTAAGTTATTCTACAATTTTAAAATGTAACCCTTCTGTCCCCCACAAAAATACAAAAGTTTTGAACCTAGAAGCAAAATTTATCAAATAAAAAAGAAAAATTGAATGGAATAGGATCATGAACTTAAGCCAAGACAAACTGAATCAAGTCTACATTGATCTAGCCTCAGATTTTCAGCAGCAAGAATTTTCATCTTTAAAGTACACTTGATAAGACAAGACCTTTCCTGAAAAGGCAAGATAAGACAAGACTGAACCCTTCCTAAAAGGAAAATAAATAAATCACCCTCATCACCTGTTCAACATATTTTATAACTGGAGAAAAAAGAAATTTGACTCTAATTGCATTTTTCCTCCAAACAACTAAACTTAATAGTAACTTTATAGTTACTTTTTAGAATATAAAAAGTATTCTAAGAAGTACAGCAATTTTTTAGAATACAAAAAGCACCTAATAAGATGCTTCTTTTAAAAGTTGATACTTTTCACCTTCACAAAACTCATTAGATGGTCACAGCAAAAAGCAAGACAATTTCTCCAGTATAATCATCCAAAACCCATACATGTTCAAGGATAACATGTTTTGTCAAACTACTGAACTCCAAAAACCCATATATACACATCTAGTCTTAAGACTAAGAGAGAGAATCTCATTTCCTGGTGTTAGTAGATACAGAAACACTGTCCTCTCAATAACCCATCCTGTTAAGTTGTATTTAAACATCACTGTAGGTGGGTAGTGGGAAGCCTGCTGTAGTACATGGGCACATCAGTCCAACCAGCAACAGCCCAAGCAGGAAGCTCATGTTTGGCAGGGTTCTCAATTAAGGCTTAAAACAGACCTTGTACCAGCACGAAACAGAAACACATCACGGTCACACAAACATGTCACTTCTACCCCCTTGTGAAGCAAAGAAACCAACGTTGCCAGTCAAGAATTCCCTACCACAGGAACTTGCTCCCAGGCAGTAACAGTGAAAATCTTCTTGTATCACCTACTTCATGATATGTGACTAATTTTTCTGCTGTGCTTTGTTCAGTTCGCACTAGCTGCATTTAACTAGAAGCTCACTGGTTTTGCCTAAAGCCCTTACTAACAAAATTACTGAATCCGGAAGGAGCTTAAACAGTTTCTTACACTCTTAACACTTCTTCCACAGTAGCTAAGCTCACAAACACCAGTTGGTGCAATGGCAACTTCCACTCTACCACTGCCCCTCCACTTTATTGCTGATGGCTTCAGCAGTCAGACTCCTTAGTCGATCATTTCAGTATGGTATTTCAGGAGAAAATATAAATATAGCTGTTTTCTGCAGCTGTTTTCTGCAGCCTTAATCCACTGAAAGAAAAGATTAAACAAGGAAAAGAGTGAGGGGGCAAAAAAAAAATCACTTAGCAGCAAGGATTGAATTAACTTATGCTCCCACAGAAGTGCAGTTTTAGAACAGAGGAGCAGTCGACTTCCTTGGCAGAAGCAACATAATTACATTTTCACTGGAGTTTCAGGTCCCAGACACTTAGAGATAAGAAAATGCACTAGAAAGATCTTACACTGTGAGAACACTTATCAGATCAGCGTCCTTTTTTCTGTGCAACTTTCAAGGTACTTTTCTTACCATTTCTTTTTACTGTTGGAAAAGGAAGATGGAAGAAAGCGAGGATTTCATTTTAGTGTTGCATAGGAAGGAAGAGAAGGCAGACTTAAAACCACTGTGCAATTACTTCATTCCTGGCCTTCCCTGTAGCTTCTATCACAACTTTCTATATTGAACAATTTCTATCCTAGTACTCAGACTATGACACGCACAAGGACAGTACTTAAATAAATGAAACGTTTCTGTAATTAAGTATAGTTAACAAAAAATAAAAAATAAATTTTTTCACTTGAAATACATACCAAATTGCATACCCTTTACAAAAAATAGTCCACCAAATACTTACTGTCCAGCTTCTGTCCCTCTCTGAAAGACTCTAAAGCAGATGTGTAGTTTTTCATATGATATTCGCCTAACCTGATACAAACAACGAAAGGAAAAAAAAACTGAATTTGTAACTACTTTTTGATTTGTCAATCTAATCCATATAATGCATAAATCGAGGTTGTTTTCAGTATGTTGGTTAAAGTTACAAACTTAAGAACGTAAAGTTGTCCAGGATGTTAAGACTACAGGCCTAAACTCAATATAAAAATCCTAGAGAAAAACAATGTATTAAAAAATACAGATGTCTTACAAGTAGTATAATATTAAATTTATTCATTCTTTGTCTTGCAAAAATCTTGTATAGAGCTGTGATTCTAATACAAGTATTGCCCTAGTAATTATTACAATATTCTGAAAGCACAATATAAGATACATACCCTTTCCTGAGAAAAGCTATAGCGTTACTGGGGTTGAGTTCTAAAGATTTCTTTGCATCTGCAACGGCGTCTGCGGAAAGTCAGTTTACAGATGAAGAACGTTAATGTGTTATAAAGATGAATCTTCTGTATCATTTTTTTTTTCTTATGGGAAATGTTAGTTTTCTTAGCTCACACAAAAATTAAATTTAGCCATAACTGATACAGATGATCCCTTCATTCACCTAGAGAGCTCTGTGCAAAATGAAGTATGGCTTTTCATTTATTCAAATCCTCTACTTATATCTGATTTGTAAAACTCTTATAATGGAAAGAAAGATTAGACCAAAGCCTGATATTAATTTAATCTTTCTCCCAGGCATTATTCAGTTATCACATTCCTACCATGACAGGATTCAGTAGCGTCTACCAAGGGACCACACAAGGACGGAGAATTTTTACAACATCCAGTTTAAAACTCACCCGAGAAAACTACTAAAACAACAACAACAAGCTGCCCAGATAGTCCTGTGCCAAGACCTAATGAAAATCTGCAAAGTAACCAATTCATTGATAGTTTTGCAGATACAAAGCAAACACAGATGAAGAAAACAACAAAGTAAACCATAATAACTGCCACTTAAGTTAAAGGTAACAAATTTGTACTATTATTGTATTAATTGCAGATCTAAGATATCTTCTGTAAAAAATGTGTCACAATACACTTCTAAGGGGATTATCAGTTTAAAGTTTTTACCAGCATAATTCTGCAGAAGAATATAAGCATAAGCTCGTTGACAATAATATTCAGCATCATCTGGATTCTTTTCCAAGGCTGCTGTCAACTCCTGTAAAGGCAGATAAAGGAAAAAATAAGTAAATAGAGGAGCATCTTGGAAGTCCTTGTAAAAGTACAATGTCAAGCTCTCAACTGAAAGATATTCCAAAACATAATACCCAAAATCGGCAGGAAGGTTTGCCTATTTTCCAGTTTTGACCCATAAAGCTTAAACACCAAGGAATCTGCCAGTTAGATCAGATTCAAGGAACCTACTCCTTACTGAGGAGCAAGCCACTTTTTCAAAGGCTTTAACCATGAAGTCCCTGTGTAGCTGGTCCCCTCGACTCCAAAGTGCTGCCTACGACTCCCAGCACAACGGGATGAAGTTGCAACGTCTCAGCACACACCTCGAGAAAGGCTGCTCGGCTCCCTTACAGGCAGGGCGGCTCGGCAGCTCTCCCAAAGCCACTACTGCTCATCACTACAACGCAGTGACGACACGTCCCAGCGCGGAGGGATTCCTCCTCGGCTAAGCTATAGACTTTAAACAATCACAAATGTCAATGCAGTACAGCTGTCAAAACACGGTTCTACCAAGCTACAGAAAGAAGACAGAGTAAAAAACCTATCTCAGTTTTCACTCAGATCAGTGTACTGTTGTGGTTCACCTGCTGTCACACCAATGTTTAAGCCAATATGGAATTGAGTGACCAAAGTACTTTGCTTTATCAGCAGCATGAGTTTGCAGCAGTATAAGACATCTAAATTTCTATATAGGAGTCAATATTTTATCATACATTTCTGATTCTGTCTCATTTCCTAATTCATCACCAGTTAGGTTGCAGAGCATTTTATAAGTGAAAAAGCAAGCAGAAGACACTCTGATTTCATATGGTAGGGTACTTTTTCAACTTGGCATGGAAAAAAAAAAAACCACTGAGACTCACAGCTTTGTCATTCAGACCTTTAAAAGAGCAAGTAGACCTTTGAGTTGCATCAGATCCTGACTAGTGCCTCTGACAACCCAGCTACAAGCAGCAGGTGCAGAAAACCCAGAGATGTTCCTCAGGAATCAAAAATGCTGGGCAGAAGCAGCACGCAGACTGGACACCAGTCCCGGCAGGGCGGGAGCATCACACTCCACCGCAGGGTGCCGAGCCCTGCACAACAGACGCTAAGAACAGGAGCCAAAGCCCACACGTCGGATCACGCAAACACGGCACCTGGCTCCCACATCCAGGTTTCTAAGTCACCATGAAGCTGGGCTGAGTGATGGGACCTACCAGTTCAGAGGTTACCAAGCACAGCCTGCTCACCAGCACAAGCATAAAACACAAAAAAAACCTGACAAGTGACAGGTGGTATTGCTGTAACAGATATTATATAATGTCTATATAGGGTGCTATACTTTGAAACTAGCAAAAGGCTTCTTATTCAAAGCCACTGAATGTAAAAACTGAAAAATGCACAAGACAAGCAAGAAAACTATGCTAACACCAAGAAAAGCATGTCCCCAAAGTGCCTGCTAACGCTTTAAACACCTTCTGTTTACAACTGGAAACTCTTATCTTCTAAATCTTAAATTCATTTTTACTATGTCAAATGTACCAAATTACCTCCAATCCCGTTAACCTTCCAGAAAAGTTCTGCAAGCTGGAGCACAAACCTCAAATAGCGAAAATCAGCTCTGTGATTTCATTGTGGAAAGACAAATAGCTTCACCTTGCTCTCTTTGGGCAGAGCTAGATATACCCTGCCCCCTTACAGAGCTAAATAGAAATGCCTCCAGCTCTGTCTTCTTCCTAACTTTGCCATTCAGATAAAAAAAAAGGAGCTGTGAGAACAAACTGACCCAAATGAGTGGTAGAATATTAAAATAAATAAATAAGGAAAGAGAATGATGGCAACAGAATAAAAACTATTTTTTTCCAATTATTGGATCAATTATGATTTTTGCACCAAAAAACTAAACTTACTACATATAGCCTATCCATACGGAAAGAAAA